AGGTAGTCTCCGACATGCCACTGAAAGTGGGCGGTAACTCGACCCATCCCATGGTGCACGACATAGGGACGGCCGCCAGTTGGGGCTCACCTTCATAGCGAGGCAGCACCAGCGCGAGTCGGAAGGGTTCAGGAACACACGGTAGAAGCCGTCCTTGATGTCATGCTTGCAGAGGCGGACGGGTCCAAACTTGGGGTTTGCGTGACGCACATCGTACAGGATGCGCGGCAGGGCATTTCCAAATTGCATGGCCTCGAGCGACGCGTGATGTGATGTGGTTTCGTTCATGGAGGGCCATCCCCAGTTCCAGGTGTGGTCGCTGATGAGTCGGGGTTTTCGGTCTCGTTCCACCTTCACCACAGCGGCAGACAGAAGGAGGGAGGGTTCATCCTTGACGAGGTCGAATGGAAGGACAGCCCAGAACTTGTTCTCGATGAACTCCGAAAATTCCTCACGGAGGAAGTCGGAATGCTCGGTAGCAGATTTGTGGCAGCCGCGGCGGATGCATTCCTCCTTTATTTCCGTCGTCCAGGGAGGTGATTCGTTTTGTACGGGGACCCCATGGTCTCTCCAGTGGCAGAGCAAGGGGATGGCAGGATGTTCGACATCCTCCAGGTTCGGAGCAAGGTAGGAGCACCCTCTGAAGTCGGTGACAAAGGATTCCCACGTCTCTGCCTTCGAGGAGGCTGAGCAAAGGTTTTGGACTAACGTACCTAGTCTGTCATTTCGGATTGATCTGGTATCAACGGCAGGGCTAGTAGTTTTAGTGGTGTTTGATGTAGAGGATGAAGGTGGTCGGCGTTTCTTAGGTGATCCGGGCAGTAGGCCAGCCGACCGCTTTGATGATGGAGACATTGACAGCGAGGCTGCGTGTGAGAGGGCGTGAATTGAAGTGGTAGAAACGTTTTGTGAAGGTGGCTTGCGAGCAGGAGTGCTCCTGTTAGTCCTTGGAGGTTTCACAGGAGAGACATCACGATCAAAAGGGCGGAGACCAAACTGCTTGCGAGGCATGGACGCCACCGAGATAGGAGCGGGCGCTCCAATACGGGTGGCGAGTCCAGTTGTGGAGACTCAGGGCTGAGGGTCAGCAACTCCACAGTCCGTGAGGAGAGTGTGGAGCTTCTGCACCGTAGCCGACGAGTAGCACTTGTGGGTGGCAGCGCGCTTGCATCCGGAGGTACAACTGCCTTTTAGGGCCCAGGCCATACATACGTCCTGACCACCGTGCTTGGGAATGGTGTACTGATGGTCCTTGGTCATTTCCGTGATGGAGCGGAATCCCGAGTCCTGGAAACGCTTCAAGAGGTCCTCATCGCCATGGACGTTGGTGACTGGGTGTGCTCCCGCTTGCTGTTGGTTCGCTCCCGCAGGCTTCTTGCTCGGCGGCTCGGGAGCGGGCTTGAAGAACGAGTACCAGTGCGCAGGGAGCTCAGCAAGGGACAAGGCACGGGAGGACTGAATGAGTCTAGTCAGCGTACCAAAGTTGGGGGCAGCAGCACCCGGGTTTAGGATAGCTTCGTTGACCCACAGGAAGTAATCTTGTTGGATCTCGAAAAGGATGCGACCGCACAAGTCCACCACCACACTCCGGTTGTCAGCATGCAGGCCATGGATGGTGTGGAGGTAAGATCCCAGCGAGAGGGCCACATCACGCACCGAGCGTGAGACGGGATGGTTTCCTCCATGGAAGACGTCTATCATGATGGAGAAACCATAGAGCTTTTCCTCCGCAATGCGACCATCGGTGGGAAACTTGACATCAGTGGAAGTGATGGCAATGGAATCTTCCAAGGTGACCGAGGCTCCCTTCTCAACGTACTCCGCTCGAGCGGCCAGGTCCTGGACCGCCTTTGCTTCCGAATGGCCTTGGCATACCACCGAGAAGGGGGAGAGGCCCTCGCCCAAGGTGGTCCCTTGACCGTTCACGAAGTACTTGCGGAAGACACGATCCAGAATGTGTCCAGTGACCAAGGGTTTGTTCGCGAGGTTGATGGGTAGTGCCGAGGCCTGAGTGCGTTCGTCTAGTTGGGCTTGCAAGATTCCGTGTTCATTCCCTTTGGGGGACTTCGCGAGCAGACGGTGAATGACGGGGAGGTTCGCGTCATCGGCAACGTTGCAGAGGTTGTGGACGCAAGTGGCAAGTGCGACCCCGAATTTATCCGTGAAGGTTTTGTTGCTCTTCTCACGGTCATACTGGAATTGTTGTTCGACGGTGGCCTCCAGTGTGTCGCGTAGGTTCGTGATTCCCGCGTTGAAGGTTGCGTTGGTCAGACCCGGACCTACCGCGCCAAGCGCCGCCATGTAGGGGGAGAGTACCCGGTTCGTGCTTCGTTGGAGCGTGTTAGCGCTGATGGGCGCGGCCACGTTAGCAGCAGCATTACTAGTGGACGTGTGACCTCCCGCAACCAATGTGCAACAGATGTGGAACCATTGGACCAAGGGGGCGATGGCCGCCTGTCGTGCAGGATCCGCGTGAGTCATCTCAGGGGTCAGGACTTCCGCACGGAACTGGGGAAGACTGTACTGCCCTTCGGGACAGGCCACAAGGACGGCTTCAGAGAGATAGGACGGAAGCGGCATCACACGGCGGACCCGGAAGACATCAGTATCTGCGACACCGCCGCCGTGGGGGCCACTGTGTAGCACAGGAGCCGGCACGGCGGTGAATATCATTCCTCCGTCAATAACTGTCATGTTGTGGCAGGTTACGTCAGCCGTGCGCTGGAACGCTGACATAGGAAGGACCACCGTGATAGCGCTTCGAAGGTCATTCCCCACCACGATAGCGTAGAGATTGTCGTAAGGAGAGACCTGACTAGGATTCACGGGGTAAGCGTAGAGTGAATGTCCAATGTAGATATTCGTTTCGTCATTCTGGAGGACGAAGCCAAAGGTGACGGGTGAACGAAGGCAAAAATTGCTCATAGCGCGAGAGGCAACATCACGATTCGCATTTGAGGCGCCGCCCACAGAAGTGAGGATATCAGTGTAGTTGGGAGCATGTACCTCCCATGCCATTGCACGAGAGACGAGATCCGAGAAATTAGAGCTGGCCATGGTGAGGGTCGAAAAGATACGAAACCTGATGCCGGCGCAAGAGATTAATCTAATCTAGGTTCTTGCCTTCAGTGTCGGCTGAATGAAGAATTGTGAGCTTGGAGAGAGAGACAACCTTCTTGCGATCGGCAGTTCAATGGCTGATCTTGGCTAGGTCGCTGGCTTTAGTGATTCATGGTTGCCGCTGTCGATCTTGCCAAATGTGGTCTTGGACAGGCGTTGTTGCCTTAAGGGTAGTCTTGTTCGAGAGGCATTGAGGAGCTGATGCGGTGCATCATCATGTGGGGTATCCATTTCCGGAACACAGGTGATGACCTGCGAGATGTAGAGATGTACTTGAGTTGTAGGTGAGGAGCGCGGGAATTAATTTTGCAAATTGTGAGATGGTCCTCTCGGCAACCATGATTAGGGTCATAGTTGCGAGAACCCATCAGGGTTCAAGTTTCCACGCTGCGGGGCGTGGAAACTCGGACGGGGGGTTCCCCAGGCATGTTGCTGCTCAACACGGTAACGGAGTGTAGCCAGTAAACCGGAACCTGAGTGTGTTCGGTACTGTTGCCACTGTCACGGATCGAAGCAACTCTCTGCCTACGGTATCGTAGATCGGGTGTATTCGACATATGGATCCAAGTAGCGAAACTGAGGAAACAGGAGACGAACGCTGAAAAAAGCCGAATTTCCTATTTCCTATTTCCTGTTCCGGTGAAGCCAAAATATAGGGATAGAGATAGGCGTAAGTCAACAAAACTGGTAATTGAAGGTTCTACAATTTTAGGGGTAGGAATAAATCATGATTATTCAACGTTAGTGCACTCAACACAATAAGCCAGCAGAAACAGGTACATACGGGAGTGACAGCTGTAAAATTATGGTTAGTGGGGGGCAACACACAATGAAGTCGGGTGTTTTTTGCCAGGGCTAGCTTAAATTAAAAAGAAGGTTATAATGAGGGAATGATTACGGGCGGCAACACACGACGAAGTCGGGTGTTGTTGCCAGGGCTACCTTGAAAGAAGGGTGCAATCTCAAACAGATCCTCTTTCTTCTATTTGTCTTTCTGCCGAGGTATCGCAGCTCCCACTGACTTAATAGTTACCGTAGCTCCCAAGCAGCCAACTGTTCATTAAAGGAGACCGGAGGTGTAATAGATATACCGGTCGAGCTGACTTAAAAGATGGGCCGGCATAGTAATATTGTTGAAGTTTGGCTGAAGGTAGTGTCATTAGATTTTTCCGTCTGAGAAAGTGGCGTGGTAGCTTAGGGGAGTTTAGAGGTGTGCAACATGAGACGTTAGATTTTTCCATCTGAGAAAGTGGCTTGGTACCTTACGGGAGCTTAGAGGTGTGCAAAGTGAGATGTTAGATTTTTCCATTTTAGAAAGTGGTGTGGTAGCTTACGGGAGCTTAGCGCTGTGCAACATGAGACGTTAGATTTTTCCATCTGAGAAAGTGGTGTGGTAGCTTACGGGAGCTTAGAGGTGTGCAACGTGAGACGTTAGATTTTTCCATCTGAGAAAGTGGTGTGGTAGCTTACGTGAGTTTAAAGGTGTGCAAATATGAGGAAAATATTCAGGATCCGTTGCTATAAAAGACAATGTATAAGAAAATTTAATGTGGGGGCCCAAGCCTGGGGGGCTTCGTTTTTTTATAAACTCTAACCCTAAGGATAACCAACCAAAACCAACCAACCACCACCACAATAAACAGGGTCAGAGATCACCGGGGTCTGCCCGGTATATATTTAGCTAGCCAGCTGGGAGAGCCTAATATCTTGGCTACCCAAGCAGCCAAGCAGCCAACTGTTTATTACCTAGCTAGCTAGAAACAGGCTCTATATATATCCACTAGAGCTAGCAATGGTGGCAGTACTGGCTACTAAGTAGCTAGTTACACATGGTAGCCAAGCAACCAGCCCAATGATTCCATTTCAAACTCGTTGAGGGCTCATGCCTTCGGCACCCTCAATCCGTTGTTCCATTTGATGTTCAGGTGAAGACCCTCTAACAAGTTGTCAGGCGTGTCCAAGGGCACCATCTGGTGCCATCTTTTACTGGAGCACGACAACTTAATGAACACAATGTTGCCATTGTGATCATCGTGTGTCACAGCAAAGGGTGGCTTGCTTTCGTCCAAGAAGAAATCATCAAACTTGGTCAAAGCTTCTCCAAACACTTGGGGACGATCCAGCTTGTCTCGCAGACTATCTGCCTGGCGGAACAGTTCCCGACAAGCTTCGGGATCATTTGACTGTAGTCCTTCCTGGATCCACCCGGCCACCCTGAAACAAAGCTTGATGCCCATTCTGGTTGTACTTGGCTTTGCCAACAAAGACGCCAGTCGTGACGTCTCTGATCATATGCCCTTTGGAAATGAAGTATGTCATTTCTTCGTGGGCTCCTGCTCTTACTAGTATGCATGGTTGGACGGGCAGTTGTCAATTACAGGTTGCATTGGCTTACCAACCTTCTTTGCTTGTGGCTTGGCTGTTTTTCGAGGGCACCTGCTCTCAAGGTCAGACAGACTGGAAGGTTTCATTGGCTTGCATGTATAGGAGCAGCTCGCGAGGGCTCTGACAATGGGCCAACAATGATTTCCAGCATCCATGGTGGATAATCTTTGGTGGTTGCTGTGGATCCAAACCATTGCAGAAGTATCATCGGACAAGATTTGAACATTGGCATTACACAGATCTGGAAGCTGCTTGATGAGGAGACAGCCTTGTGTATGTACCGGCAGCATCCTGGACGTTGATGGCCCTTCTATCTCCAGGGAGAAGATAATGATTGACCGGTACCGGTAGCTCCAAAGGGATTGCTGCTGTTGTACCGGTACCAGTATCGGTAACGGGCTTCAACTCAGATTGTACTGTAATGTACTCGCTGTGAACTTACTTTTGATACATGGGCAGGAGCGACCTCTCATGCCAATCATGGTTGCCGTTTCTATCACCTCCAACTTCGGCTCTCTCCACCTGTGCATTTATGTTTGAAACAAGGTTGGGAATTGGGAATGGAATCAACTCAAACGAGCGATCTTTTCAACGCCAAAGATAGGAAAGATATTGCTTTCCTTCCTCCACCTCTCATAAATTCGATTTCAGCAAGCCAACAGCCATCAAGCCTGCCTTTTAAAAGCTAGATCTAGTAGACTGTTTGGGTAAATTATGAGCTATCTAGATTATGTAGATACAGAGCCACTGGCTCCGAGCAAGACTAACATGTCTCCTGTAGAGGAGATCTATCTTGCCAAGACCTATCTTGACATCCTTCTTGTCACGACTATTGCAAAGCCATCAACAGCCAATCCTCATCTTCTACTTTACTAGCAACATGGGCAATGTGTTCTCCTCCTGCTATGGCGCAACTGCTGAAGTGAGCAGTCCTCCTCCTTCATCTGCTGTCGGTCCACCAACAATGACTCTCACTTCCGTGGTGCCCATGGTGAATGCCGAGGCCATTGCCTTGTCTCGCGGCCTTGCCATCAGAGAGATTTAGGGGGGGTCAGGCACCAGCGCGGGGGAGGGAAAAAGAAAAAGAAAGGGAGAGGGTTATCCGTTGGATTCCAGATTCCGCCGTTGAAAGCCTGCCGGCACACCAGCGAGGCAGTAAACAGTCACCGGGACTAGAGATCACTTATAGCCAAGAGGGGCGATGGCAATGACCCTCTATGTCTCCTATATAAAACAGACATCTCCCCCATGGGTAAGACGTCTGAAGAACAGCAATATGTCATCAAGTACGTCACAGCGAATACATTGGTTCATTTGAATTTGAATGGTGCAACGGATACCTACTTGCTCTTTTCCCAATCCTTCGCTCGCACCTTACCTTCCCATTTTCCTCCGATCTCCGATCGATCTCCGATCTCTGTTGCTGTTGCATTTCGCTCTGTTGCCTCGAAACAAATCGCAACCATGAGGATCACTACTAGTTCAAGGTTCTCGAAGTGGCTGATGAGTGTTGATGCATACCCATTCAATGAGCTGAGGGCCACAAGGCATGGATTCACCTGCGAGTATGTGATTTTAGAAGAGGTGGATCCCAGTGTCAACAACAACGAGAAGAAGTACAGCTGTGTGCCGACGAATACCTTTGATGTGCCTATTCTTGAGGAGCTTGTCATGCAAGGAGGATGGAAGCCTCTTCCTCCTGACATGACAAACATCATGGATTACATGTTTTATTGGGGCCTTCAGAAAAGTCCAAAATGGTACCATAAAGTTCTCTCCACCCTTTCTGAAATGCTGGTGGGGTCAGAACCATGTGAAAGGAAGGACATCTTCATGGAGTGCATCTTGGTTAGTGAAGGAGAGGATCACTGAGAGCTATGACTTATCCTCCAATGAAGGGCAGATTGTGATGGCTGCTTGGTATGGGTATTACATCCAGTGGTACCAAGACAAATTTTCTTTTAAGGATTTCAGTATGATGAATGAGGAGTTCATGACTTTCTGCATTGAAGATCTGGAGTATTCTGGAGGCCTGCGACCCCAATTTGCTATGTTTATTGATGGGAACAACCAACCATGACTTCGAATGTAAGTTAGTAATGGGTACATTACTAGAAATGAATTTGTCACATCTAATAATTTGTTCTTATTTCTATGCAGAGTATCCACTAAATCTAGATTGGCAATTGGCATCATGAGGTGGTCTTCCTCTCCTATGAGTCAACCACTGGCGGTATCACTGACAGCAGCCATTTGGTGGAGGTGGCTGGAAAGGAGATGGCTGTATAGGTTGGAATTGCCGTGCAGCCGCATTTGCATGGCGAGTTGGCATCATTTGAATCTGTTGTTGTCCAAATTGAATCAGGTTACTCATGTAGTTGTTTGTTGTTTGTGCCACAGCTGCTTGGGTTGGTGGTGGTGGAGGTGCGGGGGGTGGCGGCGGTGTTGCTGGTGGAGGTGGTGGCTCGATTGCTGGTGGACTCGGTGGTGGCTCGATTGCTGGTGGACTCAGTGGTGATCGAGTACATGCCACACAAAGACAACAATCATTTGGAGCATACTTCTGCCTTTGTGGTTTGAATGCAACAATGAACTCTGAAAAGAACCTCTCTCCATTATCCTGTGGCAATGGCTCTGCAGTAGGAAATAGTAGCACTTGCCATTGGTGGACAAGAGGCCATGTTTCAATGCATGGAGAAGTTTCTCATAGTCATCTGGTGAGTACACGTACAAGCAATCCAACAGGTCTGACATTGCTTGAAAGTAATCAATGTGGCCCTTTCTCATAGTTGACAGGATTCTCTTCTCATAATGAAACAGGCCTAGCCTTCCCTTGATTCCTGGAAAGAGTATCTCCCAGTAGTCATCCTTGTTGGGCCATGTGTCGCTGTACATGGCAGCTGGGTTGAAGTGGCTCCTCCTTGCTAGCTGCATGGCAGCATGGGAGAAGTGGATTGTCTTGGTGGTGGGAACAAGAACAGCAGAGGCAATCTCTCCTGTTTCAGTGGCAGCATCCCAAACAGCACCAGCACCAAGACTCTTGCATCTAAGAAGCGCATTTTTAGGTAGCGCGAAAACGGGAGCACCCCTACCATTCCATTCCACGTGTTTGGCATATAAAATCGTGACGTCGCTGGTTAAAGCTTTGGTAGTAATTCAGCAGTTTCGGAAGGTGAGGTCATCCAACCGGATCCGACGAGCTCCTGATTTGTAAGGTAGCATGCATGATAACATACAGCCATGACCTTGCCAACCCAGTCGTGCCCTTTCGGTTACTTAGGTATGCGTATGTATTTAGGAGGCAAACTACATACAGAATGCACCAGGACGAGTTTACGGATTGCTAAGTACAATCTCATTTTATAAGATCGAGCCACTCAGAGCCCAGAAACTGTCAATTTGGAACCTCAGAAGCACATTTTTGACGGTGTCTTGTACATTCTATATGCTAAAAATAACGTCTGTAAGCTACCAGTTGATTTGTACCTATCTACAAATGGTTTGGTATCGTTGTGAGTACTGTGATGATTGGTTAAGAACCAGAGAGCTCTATCAATCACATACAAGCCTATCAAACTTGTATTGAGGCACGGAACAGAGTGCTGGGCATTGACCCTGGACTAACAAGAAGGAGTAGATCCAGGGCAAGGGCTGCAGATCTAGGTGCTACTGACACTGGAGGCCCGCAAGGGCACCAACACCAACAACACAGGACAGGAAGAGGAAGAATCCAGTCAGGACATTCCACAAGAGATGCCAGAGGAAGATGATCCAATGGAATGGGACCCCTTGAATGTTGATCTACTGGTTCTAAAGATGAGGATGAGGACGACGAAGATGAGGATGACGACAGGATGATAGAAAACAGCAGCGGATACACAAATTGGCACCAAAGTGACGGTATTAGGGAAGGCAGAGAAGAGGTAGATGCGAGGACGAGGATCAGGAGCCACAGACGAGGATTCGATGAAACTGACAGTGATGAGGAATCCAGTACATCTGAGAAGCACACCTGAAGGTAGGATACCAATCTACAAGGTAGGTATCGATTAAAGTCGAAGGTCGACCCTACGATACAAATCGTGAAGGGAGGTTGCGGATTATGCACGAAGCTTCTGGTTCCCCATGAAACAGTACTTACAAATCTGTTAAAGGGCATGCTCAATGATCCAGTACGGCCCGTTTAACAAACTGCAATACACGGCTCTTAGCCTTATTCGCGACTCGATCCTAGATAGGTTTGAGTTCGACTCATGACTGAGTCTCTCGTGAATAGTCATTGAGACAGGGTTCTCAATGACCGCTCTAGTCATACTAGGTTCATGATGAAACATCGATCTAGATATTTAGCCAGCGTGGAGTACTTCCACGCTACTAGATATATGCTAGACGAATCTTCCACACGTTCCGTTTTGGATCGTGGAGTGAGTGGGATTGCTACCACACCTACTCTATCACACTTTACAGTCTCCCGCGGGAGTTCAGATCTACGATCCTTTGATTGTGGATCTCTCTCGTAGCTCTATCTCTCTCTT